ATACACACACATGCTTGTATATATTAAAGAAATATTTCCATGTATACACTGTATATAGATTTATATATAAATTATATTATATATAAATATAGATATTTTATATATAAATATTTTTTTCTTAAATATACGTGCATATGTGTGTATTTATATACATAGAAAATAATTATACACAGTTTACCCACATATATCATGTAAACAAAAACTTTTATTTTGGATGTGATTAATCATGATTAATCATTTGACAGCCCTAATATATATATATATATATACAAAATAATTATACACAGTGCACTCATATATATTATGTAAACACAACCTTTTTATTTTGGATGCGATTAATTGCAATTAATTGTTTGACAGCCCTAATTTATATTATAGTTTATTAGTCAATATTTGACAAGTCGATCAAAAAAGGTCATCAAAGTTGTCCTAAGACAAGAACGAGTTTTATTTTAATTCATGTATAACTTTGATGAAAGGTTTTGATCCACTTCAAATGTTGATTACTGTTTATTATATATATATATATGCATTTACATTAAATTTACTTTATACATTTGTTTATTATATATATGTAACTTTAGCAATTTATTTATGAATTTTCAGTAATTTTGCAATGTCACTATTACAGTAAAACTATAGTTTTCTTCCATGCATATTGTTGTGTAATATACCTCTAAATTGAAATATCACACTGGACATCATATCATAAACTGTTTGTTATTTACAGAAACACCCTCATAAGCAAAGTGTGTAAGTCCTCAAAATGTTCCTGAGGTTTTGATGGAGCTCTAATCCATGTCTTTATTTCCCCTGTTATCAAGAGGTCTGGGTTACAGGAAACAGAAAGCCATTAGTGACATTAGCCGTCATTACTCTCTCCGATCATCATCCGCTCTTTCCGATCAAGGTCATTTGGGGGTTTTACGTTTGCAAATTTTAGATGCTTATCCGAAATATCTGCTGTATGTTGTCATTTAACCTTAGCGGGGCAAGACAAGAATGACAGCCTTCTTTTTTCTTTTTGATTTTCTTATTCTTTTGATTTGTTTTATGGGTGGGTGGGTGTTCGTATTTATCTATGCTTGTGATTTGTTCTTATTTTGTACCGACTGTTCACTTGTTCACTTTATTAGTGTTTATTTTAAAGTTATTTATTAAATGTATTTTTAAAGTTTATTAGTTAGGCTAGTAGTTTTTGCTGTGGTAAGTGTGCTTTTAGTAATAAATGGAAACCAAAGTTACCCCCACCCCCAAAATATATTTATATTTCTAGCTGATCCAAAAAATTGTCTGATCCGTGACTCAAAAACCATAATATGATCCGAACCGTGAGTTTTGTGAACCATTGAACCACTAAAGTTGTTTTTCACGACTTATTGCACTTAATAACTCATTTTAATGTCAAGCAAGTCCATCTGTTGTTCTCTTTCACCTCTAAAGTGTCTGTGGTACGTGTATATGAAGAGTTCAGATGCAAAAGCCTCTAAATGCCATTTGAAATTTTCATCTTTAATGATGATTTTTGTCAACTTGTATATTTAAGTTCAGTAATTTCACTTAAATAACAATTAATAGGTAATTATCATTGCCATTTAAGTGAAATCACTGAACTTAAATATACAAGCTTGACAAAAATCATCATTAAAGAAGAAAATTTCAAATGGCATTTAGAGGCTTTTGCATCTGAACTCTTCATATATACATGATATAGCAAAACTCTAACGAACGATAGACGTTTTATACCATAAATAATTTATTCATATTTTTGTGCGAATTGTGCACTGTAAGAGGATCCTCCTTTCAGCTGTAAGTGGCTCTCAGACTGTGTTTGTCTGAGTGCTCTGATTGTTTAGCATCATTGGTGCCGTGTGCAGAGAGCTGCATTACACGCCGTATGATTCATGCTCAGAGAATAGGGGACTGTTGGGTATTCAATTCTCTTCGGAGCAGCTGGAGAGCGTAAGGGTCCCTCATCACGGCCACAAAGATGCTAAAAGAGGAGATTGATTCTTCATCCTGGGTCACGAGATCAATTACTGCCTGATAAAACCACGAATCATTCTCAGTGCCGTGTTGTGTTTGGCCGGCAAGAAGGAAACGAGATTTTCACACATCCACTGCCTAGTATGGTTACATACTGTTTAGTCCAGTTATTAAAAAGAGTGAAAATGGCATTTTCTAACCCTAAACGCCTTCGTCATTTTTCAGGATGGAGCTGTTGCCTAGTTGTCTGCCACATCCGTAGTGTGAGATATCAGATCATGTTTCTGTTTTCCTGCAACTAGATTGCACAGATGAATTTGCTCCTTAATTGAACTTGTTTATTAAAAATCGTTGTCATTTGTGCTTTTCGATGTAATTATATTTACTTTAGTGGTTACAGGTTATGTGATATGGCTATTGTGACTAAACAAAAGGGGCTTGACATTAGGGTTGGGTGAGATGGCAAAAAAATAAATATATGAAGAGTTCAGATGCAAAAGCCTCTAAATGCCATTTGAAATTTTCTTCTAAAATGATCATTTTTATCAAGCTTGTATATTTAAGTTCAGTAATTTCACTTAAATGACAATTAATAGGTAATCTTCATTGCCATTTAAGTGAAATCACTGAACTTAAATATACAAGCTTGATAAAAATGATCATTTTAGGAGAAAATTTCAAATGGCACTTAGAGGCTTTTGCATCTGAACTCTTCAAATATATATATTTAGACACTTGTTATGTAATGCAGTTGTCATAATCTGCGTAATCTGCTTCTTTTCCTTTTAACTCCTCAGTATTTTCAACTAGAGCCAGACCGATATATCGGCCGGCC